TTTTTTTTAAAAATATAATATTTATTTAGTATATACTTAAAATTGAAAATTACATTGTCAAAAATTGTTTTTTAATATATTAGAGTGAACCATAAGTTCGCGTACATTTATTGTATTGTTTCAGTTCAGTCTAATTTTGTTGAAGTCAATAAAAATTTACACTTTTATATTATGCAAGTGAAATATTAATTTAAAAATGCACGAAATTTTAATATAATTTAATGGCAAATTATAATAGCATCGTTAAACATATACATTACGATTGCACACATTAAATAATATATTGAATTTAATTTTGTAATCGTAGATGTATTTAAGAATGGAGTAGAATAAAATTACAATACAATTTGAACTCAGTCAAGTGTTTTGTTTTTCTCTTATCATTTGTAGTACGTTTAACGATATAAAGATATCAATTAATGTCAAGAGTTAATAATATCAATAAGTGAAATTCATATTTTGCAATTTACCTACATGTAACTTAAAATAATCGATAAAACGATGAAGGCAAAAACGAAAACGGCAAGAAGTCAATTTTTTACGTAAGAGAAATATTCAAAAGTAGGATTCGATAGAATGTATTCTCCGATGTTCTAGAGGAAATTGAATCTATCGCATTTACTTTTACTACTATTGCTAGTGTTATTATTATTATTATTATTATTTTGTTTTATTTTATCGTCGTGTCATTTCGTCGAATATAGGTGGTGTTTGTGGTGTCGGTGTATATATATACATGGAATTCACTTCGGATCAAGAAAATTGTTTTTAAACCATGGATATGTCGCACATTTATTCACGTTCGCGGTAAACCATTCTGTTTCTCGTTAAAATCTTTGTTTAACCGCACGTATTTTATCCATAGATGATCTCAATGCACATCTGAGGGATATATGCAAGTTTTGATCTACAATGGTTGCATAAAATCAAACGAAATAAAGAATTTTATATGAATTTCATACGTTGATTTTATGACAAATTTTTTTTTGAATGACAAATTGGAAAATTAAAAAAGAAAATTTTAATGAAAGGAAAACTTTATTATCATATATATTTATTATGTGTACATATGTATATGAGTGTTATGTACAATATTCATCATCGAAGGTTATATTTGAAAATCGATTAAAAAAGAACAAAAAATCACGCGATAAAGAACCTTTATCATTTTTTATCTAATTATTCATTATCATTGGGATTCTAATCATCCCGATTGGCTTTCAAATAAATTTTCTACATTCTTTATTCAAAAACATAGCGACATTACTTGGCTTTGATAAAACCGATTTGAATGATCAGACTAATCTATCTAAACTCTAAATGAAGAATTGATGGAACATTAATCGAACGTATTGATTATCATTTCGAAATATAACATAGACAACAGTTACAAATGGTATTCCATTATTCGTTCTTAAACCGATTTATTTTATACGTAAATTATAAAATCCCTCGAGGGCATTTTATAATAATCTTTTAGTGTCCTTTAATAAATCAATAAGTTACTGGCTTCTCTCTTTTATATCCAGTTATTTCCTTTGGTAATGGAATTATTGAAGAAGTGATCGAAACTGACTGTGAGAAGAAGAAAAATACAACTATAAGTAAGTAAGTAAGTAAGTAAGTAAGTAAGTAAGTAAGTCTGAGATAGATATTTAAATGGAAAGATTGTAGAACCTAATACATAGCTATAGTATTGTCGTAAGGATTTGAAAAGCATTGGTTATAACGTCTAATCATCTAACGTAAGTGAATCAAATTGAAAATTCTCTTCTATCTCTATATATCTATTCTGTATCTCGGTCTCGTCTAATACGTCATTGAGAATGGCCAGGTTACTATGCTTGCATGATTATTCGGCCGAATGAGTATTTCCATGTCCCGGTAACATCACTTGACCTGATCGGCTATCTCGACCATAACTTGGTTGATTAATTCACATGCGTTAAAGCTCGCGCTTCCATCTTCAATTCTTGTTTCTCCTCCTTTCTCTTTCATTTATTCTTTATTTTTACTTTTTTCTTTTTGTATCGATTTACATATTATATTTTTTATACGATCGGACATTAAATTTTCTTAACAACACAATTTTCCGCGTTCAATTTTATTATTAATTTATGTGATAATTATAATTATAAATATATGTATATGTTTCATTTTTATTAATATTTTAAATCATTATCAAATTTCATTATTATTTGCATTCAATCAAATATACAAAACAAAATATACAAAACAAAATATACATTTTGTTTAAATAACTATTATTCCATCGGTTATATTATTATATAAATAAATATACATAAACGTATTATTTTCGATATGGAACATCCATTTTTTTTTTTAATCATTTAACGAAAATTGTATGGACATAATGGCGAACAAAATTATGGTTAAAGTAACGTAAAAGAAACACAATAAATGAATTTACCGATAAACGAATATTTTTTTTGCTCTCTTAATCATTTTATTTCGTTGTTGAAACTTTTTCGAAGTGCATAAAGAATTAAAAAACAAAAAAAAGTTATTAAATAATATTCCATTTTCTAACAAGTAGAAGATGGTTAAAGAGGACTGTCACGAGGGTACATTAGTTCCATTAAGTGAGCAAGGACGAACTATATTTATCGGACGCTAACACACGTATAATACTAACTTGTCTCGTTCCTCGGATTTTCTTTCTCCATTTTTACGATACAAGAGAGCCTCTTGTTCCTCTATTTCTTTTTTTTTTTTCTCTTTTACCTTCTCGGCTTGTCGAGCTTTATATTTCAACACTGCTCACTACTCATGAGAGACCGAAAATTACGTTCACTAGACTTCTCTGTTCATATCTATGGAACATCATTATCATAGCTGTTCATTTTTAATGCAACAGTCTCGACTATGATGGAAAATGGAAAAGCAAATGAAATATTAAAAGCGTTGAGGCGCAACAAGTAGGACGTGCATTGTATATGTATAAGGGAATATGTCAATAACTGATCGTACGTTGATAATAAAGCAAATTTAATTTGTTATTTAACGTCAAATCAGACTTACCTACATATATATATATATAATTAGTGAGAATTGGTGTGGTAATCTACATAAGTAGATATACATTACGTTTTTGTTCGTGATCCGGATTTCTCTATACTCACATTTATACGAACGCGTATGTTTGTGTGTACGTATATATACTTGGAATATGTTGAATAGAAGAAGTCGTCCATTAGGAAGCTTCACGATCTGCTGTTGAGAACAACGTCGTGTGCAAGAACAGGAGAGAACTTGGCAGTTATAATATAAGAAAAACCTGATTCTCAAAGCTAGCGAGCCAAATTTTCAATTCAAAATGGCTGCTGTCTTTTGCCATTCCACGTTGGTTGTTAACTCGTAAAATACCGATTTATTTCGTGTTTAATCGTAAAATTTCGTCTATGGTAAAATAGTAAAATGAAGGATAGATATCCTTATCGATTTTATATAATCTTGTATGGTATATATTATACATACGTTATATGCCATAAGCACGTACAAGAAGATCAACGTTGCTTTGTCTTCTTTTAACGTAGCGAACGATTCGTCGGAATAAAAAAAAAAACAAAAGAAAAAGAAAAAGAAACGAAGAAAAGAGAAGAAAGTAGAAAATCTCGTCAAAAGAGTAATCCACTTGTCTAAAAATTTTATAGCTTATGCGTTTATGTTGATATCTTTAATGGCTTCGAGATCGACTTGTATAAATCATGTTATATTTTATGACCTGTGACGGGGAGGGGATGGGGTGGTTAACGTTTCGCATTTCAAATCTTCACGCCTGTAATTTTACTCATACAATGGTACTCCTCGAGATTTTATTTCTAGATTTTTATTTTTCTCACCTCTACCTTCTTTATATATATATATATATATATATGTGTAAATACATTAATTCTGTATATTATTCGGTATAATATTATATAAGCAAAATGTATATAATCTTCAAGAAAAATGTGTTTTTTTATGAATATATATCAAATCTTACTTTTCATATTGGACATCTCCGTCAACGTTGATATAAAATTCATATAAAGTTCTTTTCTGTTATTATTATTGAAAAAAAAAAACAATTCAGAGAATCTTCCAACGTACCATCATCATCATCATCTTGAAGTATACCATTCGCCATGAAGAATAATCAATACCGTTTATCTAATCGTGCTTATTTATGAATAATCGATAAAAACGAGAACGATGACTCGAGCGTTGAAGGAAACCATTCAGATTTTTGGCCCTATAAAAATGTAAATAATTATTCATGATTTTATACATAATTTTAAAGTTATGCGTTACCTCGAAGTTTAATAATGATTATACAAAAAAAAGGAAACAAGGAAAAATACTTTGAACAGGTAGTTTTGAAAGATGAGATTATGACTAATGTTACTTAAAATGTTATGTATTGTTATTTGATAAAAAACATCTCGTTTAATTTAAAGATGAATATTATAAGCATATTCTCGTGACAAAACAATGAAAAATATGGCGATAATTATCGTGCTATGACGCATTTGGAATATCTCATCAAATAATTTTCTCATTCTTAGAAAATACTTACGAATTTGACTAATACCGTTAAAAATAGTGATACACCTGCGTCAGATTTGCGTCATTAACGAGATACGAATCTTTTATCAAACCGGATGGCATAACTCCATACATTATTATATAAATCATTGTCATCATTATCAAGACAACAGTATTCACACTTTCGTTCGAACATTGAAAATTGAAATACGTGTAAGAAGTTTCATTATTCTACCTCATTGATCATAATTATTTCAAATAAAAATTATCGTTATCTTATATAAAGAAAAAAAAATTTCGGTAGAATAATTATCGACCAAATGTATCGAATAAGCGCTATACATATGAAAAAAAAAAGAAAACAAAATTGAAATATGAAAAAAAAAACCGACAAAATCGCGACACACACAATTGTAATATAATTTAATTTCTCTATTACGTTGTGTGCGCAGGTTAAAAAGCAAAAACACCCAGTTGTTTGCAAGATGCCTCTATCGGAATTTCGCAAGAAGAAGCTGCTTTACGTCTTCAACGCCTTTTTCGGTGAGTAAACTCTGACAGTTGGTTATGGCACCGGCACAATCGAACATAGTACCCTTGAGAATTCTCTCGACTCATCGAAAGACACGTTTTACTCTTATAGTCTTTCCTTCTTCCTTTATCTCTCTTTTTCTTTCTCATTCCCTTTTATATATTAACTTCAGAAACGTACGGCCGAAATAACAAACGGTTCGATGGACCATCTCTCTCTCCCACTCTCTCTTTCTCACTCTTTCAACGAGTACTTTGATATTAAACGAGATATATCGTCGTTTCCTTCCTTCACGAGCACATCCTTACATTTTCTAAATGATTCTATTTCATTCGACCTCATCTCACTCACTTTTTCTCACCCTGGATAATCTTTAACGAGCAAGGACCAAGTCTTCTACATCGAAAGAAAACGTTAAAAGACTGATATGTGTGAGAGAGAGAGAAAAAAAAAGGAAGATGATAATAAAAAAGCAAGATGAAGAAGTAAAGATGGGTTTCTCCCTTCTATTCTAGGGTATGGGAACGGGGGTGGGAAACTGTTTTACAGCCCTATGCGAATCTCTCGAGGCTCTTTTCGGTTCTCTGAAAGTGGAATCAAGGCTATAGAGAGAGAGAGGGAGAGAGAGAGAGAGAAGGGTGTTTTGTACGGCACCTACTAGGTGTTCGCTGAGATAGAGAGCACCCGCCTATTTATGGTATCAACCAGGAGGAGATAAACAATGGACGCGTTGGGTCTGGATAAGAGGGTCGCCTTGCCATGATAGAATTATTTCTGCGAATGTATATACCTAACCTATACATGTTAACACTAAAGAGTGAGAGTGAGACACACACACACATAAAGAGTATAGCTGTGTAATCCTTCTTTCTCTGGGTCTTTATTTGTGTGTATGTTATACTATATATATATATGCATGTGTGTGTGTGTATTCGAAGCTTCTACGTATCTTTATTAACGTTTACCTCTATACACGTAAGAATATGTGTATATGTTTATACGTTAGGGCACGAAAGGGAGAAGCACGATATTACAGCGATACTAACTAAGACACATATATATATATATATATACACACACACATTTTCTCGTATATGAATCATGGAGGTCACAGGCGTGTACACGCCTGATAGATCTCGTTAGTCCCTCACTTTCTTCGCCTCTTTGACCGTCGCGATTGGCCGCTAAACATATCCTACGATCGTTCTCCATCATCGATACACATTATTCCAGCATGGCCGATGTTGCAACAAGGGATTACTCGTCCTGGACACACGGTTTATACTTTATTTTACTTTTTTTTCTCTCCTTTATTTCTTTCTAGATTATTTTTTTCCTCATTGAATCGCGACCGTAATCAAAGAGTCAGTGGAAAATTCACGATGGGACCACGAACTCGATAACGATTCATCGACGAAGATCAATCTGATCAGCTATACTTTTCTCTCACTCTCTCTCTCTCTCTCTCATTCTCTTTCCCCACTCTTTCTTTCTCTTTCCCTCTCTCTCTATCTATCTATCTATCTATCTATCTATCTATCTATCTATCTATCTATCTATCTGTCTATCTATTTATCTTTATTGAAACGAAACTTGATTCATAATCTGGCACGTCCTCTGTGAAGTATATTTAAAAATTGGATGCCAATTCTGGTACCAATTACACTTGACTATTATAATACACAAATAAAGTGTATAATAAAAAAGTTTTCGAGACAAAGATAACTTTATATATAAAATATTATATAAGAATTGACTCTAATTAATTAAAAAGTATAGAATTATAACGAGCTATGACAGCAATATTGTTTTTTTTTTTTTTTTACGGTTAGTATATATTGATATAATTTTTCCTTTTTGTTTTTCATTGTTAAATAATACTTGCATTAAGTATTAGGTCACCAATGCATATCGTACATTCGGTATTTATCTGCTGCTTATGATAATTACTACATTCGAATTCAACTATAATGGAGTATCGTTATTGTTTGTTTTTTGTGTTTTTTGTTTCATTTTGATAATTAATCACTGAACTAACGACTTTAAAAATTTTTAATAAAAATGACAAAAAAAATTGATTAAACAGTTAAGTAAAGTTTACTCGATTTATACAATATATCAATCAATCTGATGATCGAAAAAATTCAACACATCCTATGTTTTTTTATATCGAAGAAAGGTAATTAATTCGAACGTTACAAATATATCAACGATGGATATAGAGACCTTGAAATCATTTTTAGTCATAGAATTTCCTTTAGCGATTTACTAACACAAGACTGGTGTTATGTTGCAGATGTTAACCAGAGCGGTGCCATCGATAAGAAAGATTTCGATCTGGCTGTACAGGTATGATTTATTCTATGACGTTAACAAACCGTATAATGTTTAAAAAAAAAAAAAAAAAAAAAAAGAAAAGCATGATCATGTAAAAAATCCGTGTATTTCTATCTCTCACCGTAATTCCCATATATATTAATTACAATCCTTGACTAATGTTACACAATCTTTTTAATTTTTTTTTAGCGGATCTGCAATTCCAGACATTGGAGTGCCGATAATCCGAAAACAACGCAGACGAAGGATACCTTGTTGAAAATATGGGAAGGCTTGCAACAACGAGCCGATTCTGATCAAGATGGACAAGTAACAATAATAACAACAAATATATATACAAATAAATGATTGAAAATAAAAATTGAAACTAAATCTTATATAATTTTTATAGATCAGCCGAGACGAGTGGTATTCTATGTGGGAAGATTACGCTAAGGATCCAGCTAACGCACATGATTGGCAACAAACGTACATGAAATTTATGTTCGATCTTGAGGATTCCTCCGGTATGTTAATTATTATTACTCGCTTAATTTAATATAAAACAACAACAAAGACAACGACAACAACAATATCTAAATACAAAAATAAAAAGGAAACAAGAGACAAAACGGTGATAGGAAAAAGATAACCCCAGACTTACAATTAATCCCACTCGATAGCTTCTCGGAAAAAGCCCTTTTTTTTCCCCCGAGCCCTTACATCGAGAGTATTCTATTTAAAGATTTTCGAAGTACATTTTATCCCCCTTATAATGAACTTTAACAGGTGACGGATCAATCGATGAGAACGAGTTTAGCAACGTTTGTCACAGTCATGGCGTACAGGAGACTGAGGCTCGTGATGCTTTCAAAAAAATGGGGGTGGTAAGTAGTGAGAAATTCATGAATAAAAGATCCCTGTATAAAAAGGGAAATAAAGACTATTTATAAATTAAATATTGGCTAAGATATTTTTTATAATATATTATCTTCCTTTTTTTTTTTTATTTCTCACAGGGTAAAGAAGTAACACGGGACAAGTTCTATGAGCTTTGGAAACAATACTTCACCTCTGACGATCCCAACGCACCTGGAAACTTTATATTCGGAAAGACCTCGTTCTAACCGTCCTTTCGCTTCGGATTCTTACACGACATTTATTATTATTATTATTATTATTATTATCTTTTCGTTATCAGCACGTCGAAATATGTACGCTATCGTTAATTAATTGAGTAATTAATTGTCTTTTTAATACGCGATATGACTCGCGTAGTACATAAATCTGGTTTAAAATTTCTTTTTTCTCTTTTTTATTCTCTATCTCTCTGTTTCTTTCTCTTTTTCTTATATTCTTTTTGTTTTTCTTTTTCTTTTAGATTGCATAGAGCTGAAAGATATCTCTTATATGAGAAGAAGGATGGTAATGAGGAAAAAAAGAAAAAAAAAATTATGATATCATAATAATTGTTAATATCTCGTTGTTTAATTGGTAATAATCGTTGATAACGCTATTAATCGCCGTTAACACCGAAACTAAATATTGCGTAATGTTCTATAACGTGTTGTTGTAAATTTAGTTAAAACGATTTCGATTCTATGCGAATCGTTCTGTGTAATGTCGTAAAACCAAAACGTATTAAGAGTTTTAATAGTTTCTATATGTTTGAATAAACTCATTTAATTCAACGAATATTTTGATTGTATCGTTAATCATTTTTCATTAATTAATAATTAATATATAAGCTGGTAATTATGATAATGAAATTAGTCAAAAGAAAA